AGAAAAACATCATTCTGCCGCACAATTTACTTTTCAGAAAAAGGAAAGAAAAAATCTTTTTACACTTAAGTCTCGCCTGGTTGGTGTCTGCAGGTTCGGTCCCAGGCGCCACACCGCTGACAGGTGTTGAAACCCCAAGTTGTCGGCCAATAGGAAACGCCAGTCCTATGGGACTTTGGTTCGTGGTGCACTCACTCAACACACCCAGAGAATCTCCAGATGTCAGCGGTGAAAGCCGCCCTGGAATCCGGGTCACACGCACCAAAATGTCAGAGTGGACATTAAATTACCCCTTAAAAAGAAATAAACCAGACAGAGATGTAAGCATTCAGTTTTAAGACAGCTTTCTGTTTGCAAAGAGTGAGAAGTTTCTGAGGACGCTTAAAAACAGGTCTCACCAGAAAGTTCTGACCTCCGCTGGGAAAATCTGTACAATTTATTACAAGCAGAGCACAGAGAGAAACATCTTGACCAATCACAGGGTCGCTTCTTATCAGTCTCTGCAGCTGCAGAGATTAAAATTATGGCAGCAAGAAAGAAATTTAATACAGTTGATTAATGCAATMGGATCAAAATAAAAAATGATAAAGTTTAAAAATATCTATCAGTGGGATCATCGTTAGAATAGGATAAAAGGTTTGGAGAAGTTCGGGGCTCTCACACCACCGAAGCCAGCGAGGAAACAAGAACCGGAGGTCTGTTAACGACTTGGATTGAAACCTGGTTCCAACGAGGAATCTGAACCGGAAGTCTGTATATGACTTGGATTGAAAACTGGTTCCAATGAGGGAAAGAACCGGAGGTCTGTTAATGACTTGGATTTGTAGGGAGTATTTTTAAAGGAGAGTTGTAATTATTGAAAAATTGCTAAATTATAAGTTTCTTATAATTTATTAAATTAATAAGGAAATTGGGGCACCACCTGTGAATCATAACAGGAAATTAATCTCGTATTTTACTCAATCTCATGTACTGAAGAACGGAGCGCTTTTCAGTTTTTGACGGTAAAAGCCCGAATTAAAGACTCAAAGACAAAGCATAAATTTCACATTATACCCTATATTGAGGAATTCAGAGAGAAAAATTACATTACAAGTCGTGTATGGTAAGTAAAGACATTTGCTATTATAGCTGTTATGAATTTAAATAACAAATGACATCACTTCAGCCAACCACTTCTTGTAATTTTATGCTACCGAATCCTAACTCACTATTATCTATTCTAACAAAAGGAGTGAAAACTTCCCAGATTAATAAAAGAAAGTGTTAATTTATTTATCAAGAGGGGCCGTGAATTATAAGGGAAATAAACTTGCCAGCTCTTCTTCCAATCCAACCATAGCTACCAGAACACTCTCTCACCTCTTCAGCTGAGCATCACCACCAAACGCATAGAAAGTTGTTATCTCCTACCAATTCAATGCGAACCCGTCAGTTCTGTCCCAGGGTACCAGGAGGTTCGAGCGAGGCTGAATCACCAGTGCCGCTTGGTCTCAAAAGGGGGTCCCGTGTGGGTACAGTTTGGACGCACCGAGACTGCCTTGGGTCGGCTCTAAGCTGGAGATGAAGAGGTCGGTTCGGGTCTCGTGTGGATTGAACTGAAGTTCTGGTCAGTTCAGTTTCCCAAATAAATCCAGTCCCTGCACTACAAAAAGTAAACTAAAAAAATTTAAATTAAAATGAAATGTCCCCGAAGGGAATGAAGAACCTGAAACTCCCGTCCTTTCTCTCTCACTGCTGTTCTCAACTCTACTCAACTAACTAAAAAAAGTTATCTTTTGTCCTGACTGTACAAACTTCTGATTGGCTGAGATAGTCACATGGTTGTTTTTTATTTTTTCACTGGCATCACGGTTCATGCTGAAAAAAATGATTAAACAGCACAGATTGATGGGATTACTTAAACTGTGTTTAAATCAAGACATTATCTCAGTGATTGAATCATAATAGAAAAATACAGTGTTCCTTTTCTTCTCTCCTTTTTTTAGATAAACAAACAACAGAAATTTACCCAGAAAAACATTTGTTCATGATGTGATTATGAAACCAGCCTTTTGGGGGCGCTATAAGACCATAAATGAGATTGTATGTAAGACATGTCTTTGAAGATAAAGGGATGGGGCATTATCTCAGCAAGGAACACAGTCTTAGGGTCTAGGAGTGTATTGTAAACCCACTTCTGGAGACTTTCAGTCTGGCAAATGGTGGGTCCTTTGTGATAAAAGGCCATTTTTGAGTACTTGAAAGGGATCTCACACAGAGCTTAATCAATTGGAGGCTGCAAGTCCTGTTTACTTTAACACCTGTAGATTGTAAAACAAAGGGGTTGAGGACAGTGGAGGCAGTCATTGTTCTCTGTAGATATGGGAGGATGAGTAAGTATTGATTCAAGTTCTGGTGTGGAACTGTTCCTTAAGTTTCTGCTACAAATCCCCCCTTTGCAAATCACAACCTTGTTGTGAATGGTCGTGAATTGCACACCTCAGCATAACTTGAAGAACCAGTTACACAGTCAGGGTGGTAGATCTTGATGTATTTCCATAGCGTTTGTCCAGGAAAGATTCAAAAGGTAATCCAAGGATGATATATCCAAACAGAAATGGGAAATATATCCAAACAGGAACCGTGAAGATCAGGAACATCCAGATGGGGAGGTAGATCGTTTCTCTCATCAGGTGGTGAGGTAGATCTCTGAAGAATGAAGTCGAGAGGGTCCATCTCTGGTCGGACGAGGTTGCTCTCGGATGAGTGGAGTCAAGAAGGTCCATCTCTGGTCAGGTGAGGTAGCTCTCAGGGTTGAGGTAGGTTTGCTCTCTTATCTGGTGATGTGCTCTCCAGATACGCTAAGTTATCAGGGGAGGGGTACTGATCTTAGTTAGGCTGCAACTACGTAGGTTCGCTATGGAAGTAACTTCAAAAAAACTTTTAATAAAATTGTTGACGACCTGTCGTCACTAATCTATGGTTAAAAATAGAACATAAATGACATAAACTTATCAAAGTGCTTCTGACACGTTCTACAGGATGGGACTCTAATTGTCATGGGAAAACTAAATGATCAAGTTTATGACATAACTAAAGGGTGGGACTCTATTTATTGTGGGAGACTAACAACTTCAAATTAAAGTGAGGTCAATGGCAAAATAAGCTAGCGACTTATCTTGAGGTGGGAACTCTAAGGCTCTACGCTGGGTTCTACCGCTTCAGGAGGAAGTTGATATTTTTACCTCTGAATCCTCATCTTCATCCAGATCAAAGATGACAGGCATCTGGATGGATCTGCCATCTTTACTTTTAGCAAGACAACGGAAACGAGCAGTGAATTGGTCAAACTGCACTTGCATGGACTGCTTGTGACAAAGATTTAGTTGCTAAATGCAATTCAGTATCTCAATTTGGATGTTGATGTGTACCTCAGTGGCCCCATCCCTACAGCCCAAGGAGGTGATGAGAAAACTCTTTGTTCTTAATCTCTTTTTGAAAGAGTTCTTGTGCTGACAACTCTGTAGGATTCATCAACAACTTCAGCCTTTTCTGGGAGAGAAAAAAATCTGTCAGTCAGATGGACTGACTTTAAACACATTTGGAGCTGAACTGCTGGCTTCAAACATGACGTGCTTCCTTATACATTTCTTCCAGTTGGACGGAAACAAAGGAGAGTAATCAACTGATATCTGAAAAGCCTGGAGGACATGTTACAGTTGTTACGACAAAATGTTAACATGGTACAAACAACTTTTATTAAACTCACAATAACAAATTACAAGTGATTTTTCAACAGTCTTGAATATATTTCAGCATGAACGTTGTACACATAAAATGTCCCAAGTCAATCATTTACAGACAAAAAACAAACTTTTTATGGTTGGTGACATAGTCTTTAGTAGTTTTTGCAGTAAAGTCTGCACTAACTAGAGAAATTTAAAGAGTTTTAATTAAATTGTTTTAAAAGATCTGTATTCAATGATTCTTGTGTATTCCCTACACCTTTGTGATCTTTGTATAAAAATCTTTGTATAATCAACTGACTAAAAGATTCTGGGGGAAAAAGTTTCACATAATGTTGAATGAATTTTTTAGGCTTTCTTTTGCCTGTATGTCGGTGATATTTTCCCAGAAATCAGGAATGTCAGCAGGCTCTAAATTATAATCTGCAGCAAACTCCTTATTGTACTTTGTCATCACATATTTCCAGTAATCTGAAGCCTCAAGACTTACATCTGGACGAATATCCCAGTCTGGAAATATTTTCATATATTCTTTGTAAGGATGCCATTCAAAATTTGTTTTGCGAAAGTAAAAGCTGCGTTCACTCATCACAGAGTAAGAACAAATCTCAGTGATGAGTTTCCTTGAGCCACCCCAGTGGGCTCCACCAATCCCCTCTGGTCGATGCAGTGAAGCAAAGTGTTCAGTGTGGTCTTTTCCTCCTGCATCACAGGGAACTTCACAGAACGGACACTGTTTGCCACAACCAGCCACTCTGATGAAAAGTTCATTCTGAGGGTTCATCTGAAGATGTTTGAGTTTAGTTTCAAAGGTTGTGTTTTTAAACTTCTCTCTCAGAGTTTCTTTCATGTCCTTCACAGACTCTGTGAGACAGTGAACAAACTGTTCCTGGTTAGCATTGTTCAGGATCATGAAGGCACCAAGAGCATCCTGGGAAATCACCAGTTTGTCACTAAGTTCTTTACAGATTTTTTCAACAAATGTCTTCAAACTGCCTGTTGTTTCTGCTTTAGCTGTTTTGATGGCTTCATTTATGTTGTCAATGCTCGTCTGAACATGTCTGTCCTCAAACTCACTTATAGAGACTTTAGAGAAATGATCCTTTATTCTGTTAGAAATCCAGGATTTTACATAACTTTCATAGGAACGACAGTAGCTCTGAAAATTGTTGAAGTCTTCTTTTGAAAGTAGATCCAGTAAAATCTCATACTGGAAGTTCATCCGTGTGCTGAACTCTTCTCTTTTCAGCATTTCATCAACTATATTAGGAGCCAGAGATCGATTGACAAAGTCTTCAACAGCAGGTTTCAGACATTGGTTGGTGAATTCTTCAGCTTTCTTCTGGCACTGGTCTCGTTTATAGATTAAATCCTTGAAATCTGCACAGAACTTCTCTTTGTTTTTCTGCAGACAGCTGTAGGGATCATTTTCTTTTATGAAATCTTCATGCATTTTCTGAAACTCTCTGGCTGCAAATCCACAGATGTGCTGTTTTAGAGAAACTTCAAACTCAATATCTGTTTCAACATCAGCTTTGTTCAGCTTTTCATCAATGATATGAAGGATCTCCTGGATGTAAGTATGATGGTAATTGCTTTTTCTTTTCTTTTTGTCAGACACAAGATCAGTACACGTAGCTATGATGTTCTTAGCTATTTGTTGTTTTGCCTTTCCAAGATCTTCATTAATAAAGAAGCATTTCATATCTGGTTCAGTTTTACCATAGGGGGTTTTAGTTGTGTATGTGAAAGGCTGCAACCCACACTCCATGATGGTTTTTTTACACAACAGTTCAGATGCATAACTCCCCTTGTGTGACAGATTTAATCTCAAATGATGGAACACACTGACAAAGATATCTGAAGGTTTCTCAGCAGTGAAAGTCAGGGTGTTCAGGGTTTTAGTCCACATCTTGTCAAACTCTTTGTTCAGCTCTGAATCTGTCATTTCAACTTTATTCTTCCTGCATTCATCAATTAATGAACAAACTGCCTTTTCAATCTCTTTTGTGTGATTCTCTCTTATTTGGTAAAGTTCTTTCATTCCCTGTTTGTTGTCAGCTGCTGTGAAATGGTTCATAACTAAAATTTCTTCTTGTTGTCGAAGACTCTCTATGCTGATTGAAAATTCTTCTCTGTACCCCTCAACCAGATGAACATGACCCACTGGCTGCTCAAAGTATTTTTTCAGATTATTCAGCAGTTTTGTCTCCCATTCAGTCAGCTCTGTGGCTGCTTCACTTTTCAACTGACTGATAAATTCTCTGAGGTCAGATAGTTCAGATTTTGCAGCAACTGTACCAAAGTTGGAAATTCTTGTTTCTGCATTGGTAACCCAGATGTACATTGCTTTTTTGAACTCCCACTCCCATTTGTTGAACTCTGAACAGAGCTTCCTGTAAGCATCAGCTACCAAATGGTTTCTGAAGCTGAAGACGAAGTTTTCATGTTTGACTGCAGTCCACAGGCTGATCATCCACTCTCGAAACTCCAGGATGTTATTAGAAGTTGAATCACAGTTTTTCAGCTGTTGAATGATGTTTTTCTTGAGCTCATACACAGCCTCACTGTATCCTGCATTGACAGCTACCATTGGTGGGTTTCCATTCCAGAGTCCAGGAATGTAGCTGTTCCCATTGTCTGGATTGTACTCCATCACATCAGTGAAGTTCTTGTTCTTCTCTTTCTTCTCCATTTTAGCTGCTGCCTGGGTCATCTCATTCAGCTGTTGTAGGAGCAGCTTCCTGTCTCTGAGGTTCTTCTCATGAGCTGAAACATCTGAAACATTCTGATGAACAAACTGACATTTAGGTTTTTTACCAACTTCCTTCATCCTGAGGAAAGCATGCACCACTATCTGCAGGATGTCCTTCATCTCTGTTGAATTCTCCATTGCAATATTGATGATGGTGATATCACTCAGCCCAACAACAAGTGTTGCAAGCTCATTGTCATGTTCATAACTGTTGTCCAGTTGTGCCAGTTCTGGTGACTTTAGACCTTCAGTGTCGATGATCATCATGAAGTCACAGTTTAGAGTTTTCTTGACGTCTTCATTGACTTTGATGAGCAGCATGAAGGCACCTCGAGTGCAACGACCACTGCTGACTGCAAACTGAACTCCAAACATGGTGTTAAGGAGAGTGGACTTTCCTGTGCTCTGAACTCCAAGAACTGTTGCTACCAGGATCTTGTTGTTTGGAGACACCAAGTCATTGAGCTGAGAGAGAACATCACTCACCCATCTGAGAGGAATGTTGGATGCATCTCCATCTACAAGCTCAAGAGGAAATCCATCCAACAACAACTGAGCACAGAGTCTGGGCAGATGTTGCAGCTGTTGACGTGATGGGTCTGTTTCTGGAAGGAACAGAGAAGCTTCATAGATCTGACCCATTTCACGGAAGAAGTGTTCAGTTCCCAGTGAGCTGCTGGAAAGTTGTTTATCAATTTCTTTGATCTCCTCTTTGTTCTCAGAATTATGACATTTTTCTTTGTAAAGCTCTCTGAGTTCAGACAGTTTTATACGAGACAGATTATCAAGGTTCATCTGCATCCATTTCAGGAAATAACACCTCTCTCTTCCTGGGCTGGATATGGCTCTGATGAAGTGTTTCATGGCATCTGACATTGCAGAGCTGTTTTGTTTTGTTTGTAGCTTTTTTTTTTCTTTTTGAAGATTACTTTTGTATGTTTCTATGTTTTCTGAACCAACTTTTTGAAGGCGACACTCTTCTTTCTCTAAACAAGTCAGTTCTTTCCATGTTTCACCTTGTAGTGGAAGCTGATCTTCTTTGTATTTCAGTGTGTCTTGAATTTCTGCAGTGATGGTGTCTGCATTTTTCTTTCCAGCTTGGCACTCTGAAGAGTTTTCATCAACTAATATTCCCAGATCTTGAGCAACATCAGCCATCTTTTCTACTGACATTTTGATCTGTGGGTTAAAAACTACCTCACTGACTGTTTTTCTCAAACGTTTGACAAAGTCAGCATCAGTTGTTTTTTTCTTTATAATTATATTGTCTTTTGTCAAGCTTAGATTGTCTTGTACTTTCTTTACAGCTTCTAAACTGAAGTTCTTACTTGTCTGGTTTCCCACCAAGAAAATCTGAGCTTTGTGGTTTTTGTTAGTCAGCAGTTCACACTCAGGGTCCAGCTGGTCAAAGAACACAAAAACTGCTGCAGACGTTTGACACAAAAAGGAGTATTGTGTTTCAAATGAAGCAATGTCACCATGAAGGTTAGCTACAGCGACTGGCTCACTGAAGATGTCCATGTTTTTGTTTCCACAGGGAAGGTACCAGCTGATTTCAGTCAGTCCATTAGAGATTATTTTTGGAGTGTCTCCACACTCCATGTTGTGGTGAACAAAGGTGTCATGGTACTGCTGAGAATTACTCAGGAGTTTATTCAGGATCTCTGATTTGGACAAGGAGCACTCACCCAGTCTGACAAAGGAAACCATTGGAAGTTCAGAAAGAACAATTCTTTCTTCTCTGAATCCTTTGGACTCTGAGAGAGACAGAGGTCTGTACTTTTTAACAATGTCTCTCATGGCCCACAGCATCAGTGTGCACTGGTTTGTGTCACAGTTGGGAAGCAGCAGAGGCACAGAGAACTGACACATGGACATTTTTAGAGACAATTCTTGCTGAACAAAACCATCAGAGCACAAAAAGAGAGCAGTGATTATATCAAGAGGGTTTAACATGTCTGTGTGTTTTAGTGAATAGAGGGGAGGGTCAATAATGCTACAGCTGGAATCTTCAGAGTCATCATCAGATTCTAAATCTGTAGTTCCTAATTCAGATACATATTTCACATTTCTAGCTGTCACATTTACCATCATCAGTTTTTTTAAAAAGTACAATGGAAAATCTGATTTATACTTGACAGGTTCATCAGTGATGGTCTTCTCATTGATCTCAAGTAGTTTGCTGAGTGAGAGTTTCTGTCCGTAGTATTGATCCAAACCCAGATCCTCCAAGATGCATTTCAAGTCATTCACTGTAGATATGAAGTTGACAGTTTTTAGGAAGGGTGCTTAATTTTCTAAACAAATTTATTATAATTATTTGTCTTTTATTATTAGTTCACAAATCACCAGGAAAAATGTATATAAAATGCAGTGTAAGGAAAACTGAAGTGGCTGAAATGTAACTGTTCCTATATCAAACCAAATTCACTCAAATAATGAATGTTTAAAATTAAACAAACAGGCATAAAAAAGATAAAAACCATTGAGTAAAATTTGCTTAAAACATTTACTGACGAACAAGCTTGCTTAAAAATATCTGTTCCATATTTTAAGCTCTCTATATAAACATTTAACCTCTAAAGGCTTTGGCAGATGAAGACCCACATACAGAGTCCAAGATCAATTTACATTAGAGTTTGCTATGACATATTTCCTTGAACTGCTTGGAAACATTTCCATCATTTGAATAAATATACCAAAAATTAAATTTTTGAAAAATATTTATTAAGAATTGGAAGTTTCTTTAACAAAGTCAAAAATTAAAAAGATGATGATTAGACAATCTGGTAGTTGATACTTAATTTTTTTTAAAGACTGATTTGAAATTCCGTCCATCTGTCCGTTTTCTGCCACTTATCCAGGGTTGGGTCATGGGGGCAGCAGCCTAAGCAGAGAGACCCAGACTTCCCTCTCCCCAGCCACTTGGGCCAGCTCATCCGGGGGAATCCAAAGTTGTTCCCAGGCCAGCTGAGAAACATAGTCCCTCCAGCGTGTCCTGGGTCTTCCTCTGGGCCTCCTCCCAGTGGGACATGCCCGGAACACCTCACCAGGGAAACGTCCAGGAGGCATCCTAACCAGATGCCCAAGCCACCTCAACTGGCTCCTCTTGACGTGGAGGAGCAGTGGCTCTACTCTGAGTCCCTCCCGGATGACTGAGCTTCTCACCCTATCTCTAAGGGACAGCCCAGACACCCTGCAAAGAAACTCATTTGAGCTGCTTGTATCCACAATCTCATTCTTTCAGTCACTACCCAAAGTTTGTAACCATAGATGAGGGTAGGAACGTAGACCAACTGGTAAGTCAAGAGCGTTGCCTTCTGGCTCAGCTTCCGCTTCACCACGACAGACCGGTACAGTGCCCGCATCACTACAGATCCCATCTGCCTGTCAATCTCCTGCTCCATTCTTCCCTCATTCATGAACAAGACCCCGAGATACTTAAACTCCTCCACTTGGGGCAGGACCTCCTCCCCAAACCGGAGGCAGCACACTACCGTTTTCTGGCTCAAGACCATGGTCTCGGATTTGGAGGCACTGATCCTCATCCCGGCCGCTTCACACTCGGCTGCAAACTGCTCCAGTGAGAGCTGGAGATCACGATCTGATGAAGGCAATAGGACCACATCATCCACAAAATGCAGAGATGTGATCCTAAGGTCACCAAAAAGGATCCCCTCAACACCTTGGCTGCACCTAGAAATTCTGTCCATAAAAGTTATGAACAGAATCAGTAACTAAGGGCAACCTTGGTGGAGTCCAACTCTCACTGGAAACGAGTCCAACTTATTACCGGCAATGCGGACCAAGCCCTGGCACTGGTTGTACAGGGACTTAACAGCCTGTATCAATGGGCCTGGTACCCCATACTCCCGGAGTACCCCCCACAGGAGTCCCAGAGGGACACGGTCAAACACCTTCTCCAAGTCCACAAAACACATGTAGACTGGTTCGGCGAACTTCCATGTACCTTCCAGGACCCTGCTGAGGGTGTAGAGCTGGTCCGCTGTTCCACGACCAGTAAGAAAACCCCACTGCTTTTTCTGAATCTGAGATTCGACTATCTGACGGACCCTCCTCTCCAGAACCCCCCGAATAGACCTTACAAGGCAGGCTCAGTAGTGTGATCCCCCTATTGTTGGAACACACTCTGCGGTCCCCTTTTTAAATAGGGGGACCACCACCCCGGTCTTACCATCTAGGGGAACTGCCCTTGATGTCAACGCAATATTGTAGAGTCGCATCAACCAACACAACCGCACAACATCCAGAGCCTTAAGGACATCTGGACGAATCTCATCCACCCCCGGCGCCCTGCCACCAAGGAGCATTTTAACCACCTCGGTGACCTCGGCACCAGAGACTGAAGAGTCCGACCTAGGGTCCTCAGGCTCTGCTTCTTCATGGGAATACGTCGGTAGGATTGAGGAGGTCTTCGAAGTATTCCGCCCACCGACCCACAACGTCCCGAGTTGAGGTCAGCAGTACACACACCCCCCACCCCCGAGATGCCAGATGGTGGACCAGAATCGCCCCGAAGCTGAACGGAAGTCTTTTTCCATGGCCTCTCTTATCTCCTCCCATGCCAGAGCTTTTGCCTCAGCGACCACCCGAGCCGCAATACGCTTGGACTGCCGATACCTATCGGCTGCTTCTGGAGTCCCACAGGCCAAAAAGACCTGATAGGACTCCTTCAGTCTGACAGCAGCCCTCACCGCCGATGTCCACCAGCGGGTTCAAGGGTTGCCACCATGACAGGCACCGACAACCTTACGGCCACAGCTCCGGTAAGCCGCCTCGATAATGGAGGTACGGAACATGGCCCACTCAGACTCAATGTCCCCCACCTCCCCCGGAACATGTTCAAAGTTCCCCCGGTGGTGTGAGTTGAAGCTCCGTCTAACGGGAGACTCTGACAGACGTTCCCAGCAGACCCTCACTATATGCTTGGGTCTGCCAGGTCTGACCAGCATCCTCCCCCTCCATTGAAGCCAACTCACCACCAGGTAGTGGTCAGTTGACAGCTCCGCCCCTCTCTTCACCCGAGTGTCCAAAACATGCAGCCGCAGATCAGATGAAACGACAACAAAGTCGATCATCGAACTGCAACCTAGGGTGTCCTGTTGATTTGAAATGCATTGCTATTAAATTCAGTTTTTAAATAGTGCATCCACATCCTGAGCAGCACAATTACAACAGTGGAAAAGAAAACTTTATTTTTAAATTTTACTTTTAGATAACGCCCATGTTAATAAGGACATCTACTGGTGCTGTTGACAAACAGGTGGCCAGTGGAAATTGTGCTTCTGTTAGCTGAAAACCATTAGGAGAGAAATATGTCAAAGGACAGAGAGAGAAGACAAAAGTGAGTGAAACACTTGCTGGGGTAAGATATGATCGAGAATCACTTCTACAGATTTGGGATGAAGTTCGTGGACTATCGCACGTAATCAGTGAACTGAGATGTGCTGATTTTAATGTTTGCTCCATTCGGGACCATGGAGGCCATGACTTGGGCCGTGGAGGCCGGGAGCGGAGTGGGAGGAGCGGGCGGAGTGGCTGCTCTGAGCGCTGGCAATCCGAGCTCTACAATGAGGGCGTGAACAGTCATCAGCGGTGGAAATGCAAACACAGAGAAAAACGAGGGGGCTTGCTTGTTAAACTTCGTGGAAGTCCCTGTAAGATCCTGCTGCCATCTATTTACTTGGCAAATGTACAGTCTTTGACAAATAAGATGGACGATCTACTGAGCCGCATTCAGACCCAGCGCAAGGTCAGAGATTGCTTCGTGTGTTCTGTTTGACGGAAACATGGCTTCGGAGCAACGTATTGGATTCTGCCTTTCAACCACCTGTTGTCTGTTTATCGCTTAGACCAGGGGTGTCAAACTCCAGTCCTCGAGGGCCACTATCCTGCATGTTTTAGAGGTTTTCTTGCTCCAACACACCTGATTTTGATCGCTGGGTGATTAACAGGCTTCTGCCCAATTTGAAGAGTTAATTCAGTCACTGAATCAGGTGTGTTGGAGCTGGAAAACCTCTAAAACATGCAGGATAGTGGCCCTCGAGGACTGGAGTTTGACACCCCTGGCTTAGACAGAGTGAAGGAAAGAACTGGCAAGTCTAAAGGAGGAGGTGTGTGCTTTCTTATCAACGAACGCTGGTGCATGGATTCTGTTATAATGAATCAAACTTGCACTGCTCACTTGGAGTGTCTTGTTGTTAAATGTCGCCCTTTTTATCTTCCTCGGGAGTTTTCTGTGATATTTTTATGTGCTGTTTACATCCATCCACGGGCTGACATTTCTGACGCTCTAAAAGACTTGAATGATATTGTACACACATAAGAAAACTCCCACCCAAATGCAGAAATGATTGTAGCTGGTGATTTTAACAAAAGTAATTATGACCCCCGCACGCGAAGTGTAAGCAGGAGTCATACTGTTTTCGTACTGTTTATTTTTTTTCTCCGGAGATTTTTGGTCAACCGTAGCACAAAAACAGCTGCACCAGTCAACATGAAATTTGGGAGGACTGTAGATGAGTCTGACCTACACTGCGCCAGCCAACAGTTTTACGATGGACCCCATTATTGAGGAGGGGACTCCTTTCAAAGTGGGGGTTTATGGACATGCAAAAATGCTTATAACTCAGAAACGGTTGAACACAGAAGCTTCAGATTTCTTCTGTTGTTTAGCTCCCATCAGGCCCACCAGTCAGTGCCCCCCGACCCCCAGTTTATCTG